AAAAAAGTGATAACCATAATACCTTCTAAAATAGGAAAAAATATAGCGCACCAAAAAGTTGAACGCAACCATCCCTCTACATTTCATGTGATCGTACTGGTATTTACGTTCATTACTTAATGCGGTATTTATTTAACATACATATTACCATTGTAAAATGAAGAATGCATGAATAAAGTTTAGAATGATACGTATCGCCTAACTTATCTTCCATTTTTGTGTCACTATTCAGTTGCACAATGAATTTCAAAACTAGCACATATGTACGTACAGTTTTTTTTCAAAAAAAAAATGTTTGAGTTGCAAAAAAAAAACAAAAAAAAATAAAAATAAAGCTTTTCATTGAATTTTATTGAAGAGAAAACATTCATAAAATGTCGTTTCTATCGATATTAAGCCTATGCTTGTCCGATTGGATTTCTATTCTATCAGCATTATTGGTTATTTACGTATCTCATTTTTACTACAAATATTTTACGCGCCCTAATCCATTACCCGGTCCTATACCAATTCCTATATTTGGAACCCTCCATATAATTGGAATAAATCCTCGTGTATGGTACATCAAAAATATTGAAAAGGCGGGTTCAGTCTGGGAATTTTATATTGGTCACGAACGAAACATAGTTGTCAATAATATTAATTATGCTGAGAAACTTTGCAAACCATCTAAAAGAATTTTTAAACGACTTCCTTTTCCTGCTTTTGAAAGAATAGGTCTTAATCATGGAATATTTTTTAATAATGAGTACAATTCATGGCATAAAAGGCGAAGATTAGTAATCCGTGCTTTGTCCGCTCCGAAATTTCTACGAGGATTAGTCATTTCTGTTCAAAACACATTCAAAGAATCTGAGAATATATGGGAAAAATCAAATTTAAATGGTGGAATAGAATTTGATTTTAGTAAATGGATAAGGTGCTTCTTAACTGATATTTCAACTCTTCAGACCACAAAACAACGTTCTTATTCTGTTGCTACATTAAACCCAAATAATGATTTAGTTCAATCTGAAGATATCAAAAATGCTTTAAAATTTAGTGCTGCTGCTAAAAAATTTTCTGATTCTCTTGGATTTTTTGCGTTCGTTCCTCCATTTATGCAGGATTATGTACCAGGTTTCACTCATTATAGAAAAAGTTGCGAACGCAATATTATGTTTTTAAATGGTATCGTGGATAATATCATTAATAAAAGAAGAAAAGAACTTGATGAAGGTGCTGAGTTAGATTCTGATTTGTTAGATCATTTGTTGATTGCTCATACTTTAAAGGATCCTGATTCTGACAATGTTGAGAACGTAGCTTCAATATCTGCTAAAGAAGTTAGTGTTCTTACGTGGGACATTCTCTTGGCTGGTACTGATACGGTATATATTAATAATCTTCTTTATATAATAAATATATGTATGTTATATTAACTTCTATTAATATCATATAAATCCTCTTTTTTATTTGTTATTTATATTTAACAGACTGGTAATGCTTTCAGTTTTCTAATATATTTCGTTGCAAAACATCCAAACGTTCTTGCTAAAATTCATCAAGAGATCGATAAAGTTTTGGGTCCTGATCCAACCGTTGAATTCACTTTTGAAAATATTGATAATTGTCATTATATTGAAGCAATGGTTAAAGAATCATTGCGTTACATTTTAATGGTTCCATACACTGTAAAACTTTCCGAAGAATGTGAAAATATTGCCGGTTATGATTGGCCAATTGGAACTAAATTCTGGATTGATCATCATAGTCTTTGTCATAATCCTGATATTTGGGATGATCCCGAAACTTTTAATCCTGATAGATTTTTAAGTAAAAATCATGATGGTTCGTCTGAAATTTCGGATTCACAAAAAATCACTTTTGCTCCGTTTGGTTGTGGTCTCAGAGGTTGTGCTGGAAAATTTGTTGCTTTGACTTTGTTGAAAACTATGACTGTTATGCTTTTTAGAAAGTATAACATAGAATTAGTTAAAAAAGACGAAATGATAAAATATCGTTATACTGCATTGAATAAGGTTTATGATTTGAATATTAGAATTAGCTTAAGAGATGCTTCCTCATCTTCTTAAATTGTATAAAAAATAATTTGATGCTTTTTAAATTATAAAAATTCTATTCAAGTATTTTATTCCGGTTAAAGTCGCCTGATAATCTATAACAGTGTTGTCACTGAAAGACTACTGGAAGGTCACTGGAGGCAAAATCAATAGTGCCACTGGAACTTAAAATTCCAGCGAAACTATTGATTTTACTTCCAGTGACAACTTTGAATAATAGCTTGGGTGACTTTAATTAAATTTTATATTAATTTAGCAATGTATAATTTTTGTCTTGCTTAGTTAAATAGTTCAAAATTTATATTATTCATGTATTATTTGAAACTAAGTTATATATGAGTGAGTGCATAGCAATTACACCTATATTGTATGAAGAAAATTGTTATTTGTACACTGTATGTATATATACAAATAGACAATTTATATAATGTATTTAACAAAATTTAGCCCATTTAATATTAAAGCAAGGTTAATTTTAGAGCTTTGAGAAAAGCATAACCTACATTAAAATTTTTACTTAGAATTTAAAAGTAGTTTTATTCAAAAATAACAATATCTATGCATATGCCAATTGTATACTACGCATAGTATACAAATAGAATTTCAAATTTCGCCTATGATGCCACCTTCAACATTCTAAGAAAAAAATGGTTTGCAAAATTCTACTATAGTATTTAGCTTCTACTCAAACTTTAACCTGACCTTTCCCCGTATATTAAAACTTTTTTGTGAAGCGGGAAGTGAAATTCACTACCTATAAATTTAGTTTTTTTCTCATATTTATCACAAATCATTTTATGTTTATAAAATAAAAATTTATATTAAGGCCATACAAATTTAATGTCTGGGTTTTTATAATATGAAGCTTTTAAAAGAACATTGCTGGCCTACTTTTTTTAAAGCTTATATATATAACTTTTTTTTAAATGCACACCGGTTATTAAAACATAAATTTTTTCAACATTTGGCACGGCCAGTTATGAAAACCAGTTAATTTTGCATAACCTAACTTAAAAAATTTTTAGGCAACCTACTGGAAAAGGTACCAAATTTTCCGAATCAAGCTATTTGCTTATATAAAATTTTGATTATAAACTGTTATATCATTCAAGTTTTTCTAAATATTAGTTAAAAATTACAAATCAAGCCATATAAAGTCAATTTTTCGTTTTTGCATACCATGGAATTTGAAAATTTTGTTGGTCAGATTTTTTTTGTTGGTTCTGTCGGATAAATCCGGGAAATTAAAGTCGACATCGGCTAAATGACGGGAATAATTGGCACAATTGGCACAAAAAATAAAAATTTTCGAAAAATTGAAAAAATGAGTTGGTCAGATTATACAAAACAAAGATCAACTTGCATGGTCTAAAATTACTATATCGCAAAAATAATAAAGTTGAAATCTAAAAAGCTTAAATTTATATAAATATTGTTTAAAATATCTATTTTTGAATTATATAATAAGGGAAATCCTATTTCCACCATTAACAATATGGTTGTCATGTTTATGCAGCTAAAAAAACATGACGGAAGTAATAAATTTCCATGATACAAATGGGTGTTCCCTAATAAATTTACTTATTTAAAAAAAATACTATATTTGTTTAATTAAAATTGTTTTTTTTTTTTTAGCTTAGTAGGTTCACTTTTTGATTAATTGTCTATTAATTGTAGCTTATTACTTTACTATTTACTAGTGTAATTAGATTTTTATAAATTTCATATTCATCATCTAATAACTGGTCGGATGCTTTCATTAAATAACTGGTCGAACACTTTTATTGAGTAACTTTAATAAATGCTATATTCCGTCATTTAATAACAAGCTTAACACAGTATAATGAAATTTATTTATTATATGTAAGCAAATTTTACATATAAAGCTTATTGCTAACTAAAGAAATTTTCACAATAAATCACCAAACCAATATTTTTCTGATGGTTTTTGTCTTCTACTTCCTAATATTTCTTCAGAGACTTTCGCAACTCTTAATAATGTTGCTTCTTCATACCATTTTGCCATAAATTGCAATCCAATAGGAAGATTCTTATTATTATAACCTGCAGGCACTGTAATTGCAGGAATGCCAACAAAATTGGCCAAATATGTAAACATTACTCCATTAGATACTACTACAGGATTCATTTCACCATATTTTAAATCTCTTGGATAGATTGGAGGTGCAGTTATGGCACACGTAGGTGTTAAAATAAGATTGGCTTTAGAAAACACTTCGGAAATATTGTGCATCATGCGTGTACGAATATTTTGCGCTTGAATGTAATCCGAAGCGTTCACCTTATTGCATATTTCGATGTTAAATCTATTAGGAAGACTTAATAAATGCAAATATTTTTTGTATCCATTCATAGTGGAACCTAATTCGGAAGCAAAAGTGGTTATATGTGCTATTCGAGAATCTTCTAATTCTGGAATATCAATTTCAATAAATTTAGCACCACGAAGTTTGAATTCATTAATGAATGTTTGAAGTGCAGAAGTAATAGCAGGATCGACCACTTGTTTGTTCCACGCTGTGAATATACCAATTTTAAGATCTGACAATGTGTTAGTATGGTAAAGACCATGGAGTGTGGGTGACGGTTGATGCAAAGTTGTTGGGCTCTAGTGGTAAAAATGAATATATATAAATATAAATATTATTAAAATACTGTATAAAAATTTTAGGCTGTCGAATCACAAACCTCAGGATCTTTTCCAGCCATGACAATATAAGCCAATGCTAAATCATCAACGCAAGCAGCCATAGGACCTGGAACACCTAAATATAGTCATATTCAACTTAATTATTAAATTTATATTGTAATAATAATCATAATTAACGTCCATCTTACCTAAGGAACTGCAAAATGGTCCTGTAAAAATAAAAAAAAAATGATTATTGAAGTGTTTATTACAAATCACGTAGGGTCATTTATATAAAATACCTTTGAAAGAAATTCTTCCGTATGTAGGTTTTAATCCATAGATTCCACAAAAAGCGGATGGTATTCTAGAAGAAAATCATTACAACAATGCAATCTCATTCAATTTTCATTTTCAACCAAAGGATAATTCAGTAATTACCTTATAGAACCACCACCATCACAACCTATTGCGATTGGGCATAAACCACTATAAAGTAAAAATAAATATATTTGTCAAATTTAAAAAATAGAATTTGTTAAAAAAGACTTTGGATAACAATTTTTTTATAATAACCTGGAAACAACACATGCGCTGCCACCACTTGATCCTCCACAATAATAATCGGGATTATAGGGATTACGAGATGTATATGCATTCGGATTATTAGTTGTGACACTACTCGGGAAAAATAAAAAGATATAACTATTAACGACATACAAAAATATTGAATTTAACGACATACAAAATATTGATTTTAAATAAACATACCCAAATCCAATTTCATGCATATTCGTTTTTCCGATTATGATAGCACCTTGATCTTTTAATTTTTTTACCAAAAATTCATCTTTTGATGCAGGATTTCCTCGATTAATGAATGAAGTCCCTAAACGTGTCTCATAACCTATAACATCAATCTCATCTTTAACCGCCACGGGAACACCATCAAGGGGCCCCAAGGATCGATTTTGATTATATCTGGAAGTCGAAGCTTCAGCCTGCGCAATAATATCATGTTGGTGGTATTGGTACATACCTAAAATTGCCGTATCATCATATATTGAATAATGGTTAGGCATTTTTAGATATTCTAAATGAATAGTTATTATTTAAACTCACCGTAAAGAGGTGGGTCACACTCTTTAGAGCATGATCTATTTATGTTGTTGATTAAGTTTTCGCATACCTTTTTTTATAATTCATTTGAAATCATGAAAAATTATTACAAAATTATAACACTAATATGATTAAAACATATACAGTATCAGTTAATATTACTTGTAAAGGTGTAATCCTTTTGGCCGTGTATGCTTCAGTATAGTCACGCGCGCATAAAAATTTTTGAGTTGGATTATATTCTTTATTTTCATGAAAAAAAATTTCTAATCCATCGACTTTCTATTATAAATAAAACAATATTGCACTTATAAATTTTATTACATTTTTAACAAAAGATATTGCAAATCAGTTATCAAAATACCGTTGGTTCTTGGATGTCAAACATTTCTTTTGGTAAAGGCAATGGCATATTAGTTACGCCCTCTTTGAACAATCTATTTCTTAAGGAACCTATTCCTGTATTCCAGAAAAAATAACTCGCTAGTCCAGGTACGTATTCAACTAAAAGTACTAAGAGCCTTAGAAATAATCCACTTGCATATGGAATAACAAGTGGGCGGGTGACCTATGGAAAGCATTTATGAGAAAATATTTTGGAACTAAAAATGTAAAAATAATTTTTTACCTCTTGATCATGACTATTTGTTGTTTCTGAAGACATTAAAATTTATGCACTATTTTAATCGTTAACATTACAATTAAAATAATTTCATGAAGGTTGTTTGTGTAAAAAATATTTTTCCCAATCAAAAACCTTAAATTACAGGTTCTCTCTTGATTTTTACCAAAAACAGTAATCCTTACGTACAATGCATAAGTTTTGCATCAGATGAATCCGACAGACGACGCCAAGCCACACATGATTACATCTCATAGAAAGACTTTCATATGATTGGCTGTTTAAATCAATTTAATTTTACATTTTTTATACAGTTTAAAGTACTTTTTTAAAAAAAATCAAACCACAAAGAATTAAAAAAAAATGTATATAGAAAGTTTTATTAGGTCATAGGACTCTACTATATTAAAAATAATCAAAATCCCCTTTTATTTTAGATAACTTATCATGACAATAACTTGATTTTATCTATGTTTCAGAAGTCGTTATTATGCTACTGTAACTTCTCTAAAACAAAAAGGCACAGGTAGAACAATAAACCTTTTTCACAAGTATTCTTTCAAAAATATTTGGTGCGAT